TGCCCACACCAAAAGGTGCTGCCTATGGGCAGCCCCTCCCTGAGGTGCCAGTTGGGTTAAAATGGTCCAATCAGGCAGGTATCAACTAGGATGGGAGACCCTGAAAGAGGATATGTAAGGCAGAGCAGGAGCCAACTTGGAACTCCCAGACTCCAGTTCTGTTGCTGGCCTCCAAGAAAAGAAGAAAGAAGCTTCCAGCAGCCAATCTCTGAAGAGAAAAGCCCAAGAGCATTGCAGCTACCAAGTGGCTGCACCTGCCTCCGGTCCTGCCGCTTCCACAGCCTGAAAGAAGCACCAAAGGCCCCGGGCCCAGTGTCTCAAAGATATATTGTTAGTGTGGGCCAACAACTCACAAAGAGCTGTATCTGGTTGTCTGGCATTGTCTCCCTGTGCTGCTGCCTCTGTTGCTGTCAGGTCCAGCATCCGGTGCTGTCTACACCTTCAGACTGTGGCTGTGGGCTGCTGAGGCATCATCTCAGTGGCCCTGCCTGTGAGCGCCTCCAGTGAGTTGGATCCTAGACCACCGCCTGCTGGAGTACCATGAGCTCCAGGCCCTCCTTGGCAGGATAGTGCCATTTTGAACAAGTGGCCTTTTATTTGGAACTTCTGGACCCTGAGGACACTATCTAGGGTAAGATAGCTGCCCACCTGTGGCCTTAGAAACTCTGTCTCCCCTGTTTGTTCAATAAACCCCACTGTTGTTCCCTGAACCTGAGCAGTCTTGCAATTGCATGTGTGGATGAAAACCCACAGTGACCAGTCCTCTATGGGGCACTGTCCTTGGATAGCTACAGCACCCCATAGCCCTGTCTGAAATTCACACTGGTCATATTTCAAGTGTTCCATTGCCTTATGTGCTAGTGCCTACCACACTGGACTATGCAGCTACAGAATCTTGTTACTCAAAGTGTGATCCCTGAACCAGAAGCATTGACATCACCTATAAGGCAGCGCAGGCCCCACTCCAGGTGTAATTCATCAGCTTTTGCACTTTAATAGGATCTCCAGGCAATTCACAGATACAGAGAGACTGAGAAGTTCTGCCCCCATGCACCGGGGAAGAAAGATATAGGGTACAGGTTTCTCCTGCTATCTGAAAGTAGAACATTCCTACTTGGGATGATTTGGTAGGTTATTCTTTGGGACTGGGAATGCTCAAAATTTTTTCCATATAAATTAATAGTAATAGTGTTTCTAGGTCCCCCCCCCCATAAACCATCTGGGTCTCCCCCCGCCCCCATAACCCATACCAAATAAGAATGCTCTACTTTTGGAGCATAGTGGGGGAAGAGGGGATCTGTACATGGTGTTTTGACTCCTGAGGAGGAAATGAAATTAATCAGGATTTTTATTCCACTAGCCTCTGTGGCTATCACCTGTGGCCTTGATTGTGCTGATGCAGAAGGCGCTTGGGAGAGTGGGTGCAGAGCATGAGTACCTGATTGCGGACATCTGGAGTACGGGTGTGGGCATGCGTAAATGTGCACACCTGAGCCTGACGTCAGGCCTGTAAGGGCGGCGTCACTCAGACAGAGGATGGCTACGAGAAGATGAGCGGCGTGACTACGAAAGAGGTGAGACCACGAGAGAATGCCAGAGAGCCCAGAGAAAGAATGTAAAGCTTTGTGGGGCGCTGGGAGGCTCAGTTGCCTCCTGAGCCTCCCGGCCACCCTGCCTTGTCCCTCTGCCTTGCCGGCCTGCAGGCTTGGTACTACACTATCCAACACCAACATTTCTCATCCAGGTTCTGTGCCATGAGTTCCCTCAGCCTCAGCTCCAGATTTAAACCAGAGGGTGAAGCTATTCATGTTCTACACAAATGCTCCTCTAGGGGCATCTGTTGTAGTGACTCAGTAATCAGGAAGACACGATTACCCAATCAGTGGCCATGCAATGATCTCTTCCTCAGACTCTCTTGTGCCTGGTCAACAGGCCTGTAGTAACCATGGTGACAGGGAATGAAGCTATGGACTCAAAAACAGAACTGCCCTCACCAATCTTTCTGGCTATTGCCATTATTTTCTATTACAACGAAAGTCACTACCCTAATGAGCAAAAGGCTTGGTTGCTTGCTGGTGGCAGGAAGATGAGAGACACATGGAATAGATATGAACCAAAGCTGCAGGCTAGAGGTCAAGCCCAGCTGAGACCAATATAAACTAGTCGAACTCCAGCTGATCTGTAGACATGTAAATGAGAAAAAAAAAAAACTGTCTGCTGCTGATACTTTGTTACACAGCATTTTGTGGCAACAGCTAACTGTGACCCCAAGTGGGACAGTATGATAAATTATGGGCAATAGGCTATAAGAAGAAGTGATAGTTGTAACTTTTAGTTCATGACCTTAAAAGAAAGGTATGTGCCCTCCATTTCCCCCACTCACTTCACCCTGCAGGAATGTGGGTGTGGCGGTGGAGCAGGAAGCTGCATGTTGAAGATGGCAGACAGAGGTGAGAAGGGCCTGAGGCTTCAACTCTAAAGTGGAACTGTCAGCCCAGGACTGCTTACACTGAGACTTTTATGTCTCAGGAGAAAGAAATTTCTATGTTGGCCATTATTGCAGCAGGAATGCTTGCATCCTCATACAATTTGGGTTTTCTGTAACCAAAAAGGTCCTGAGAAAATAGGTTTGTTGTCAGTCCCCTGCGGTACTCACCCAGCCCAGTCCTACCATGCTCCTACCATGCCCTCTGATGGTGTCCGTGCTCCCTGAGGAGCCTGCCCGCTTTGCTGTTGAGCCCTGGCCCCACGGTCCTTGGGTCACTACTGCTCCTGCCACACAGCTCCCCTTTCGCCCCTCCTGCTCAGCTGCCAGCTGTGAGGGTGTATCCAGCTTCACTAAGGGCAGGCTGTAACTGGACACTTCATATGCCTGAACTATAGTATAAGGAACAACAACAACAAAAAAATTGGAACAGGGTTCACATTTTCTAACCCTATAGTTCAGAGGTGCAAAGACAATGTAGCTTCTTTGCTTTCTAAAACCCAATCTTTCCCATGAACCCTACCCTGCTAAGAGGGAGGGGCATGTAGGCTTGCTAGCAAACAATATGTTAGATTATTTTGGCTCAAGTAATGACTTTGGGGTATCTTGGTCTCTCTTAAAATTTTTTTCCTAAGATTTATTTATTTATGCATACAAGAGATGTGGGGGGGTGAGAGGATCCACCGGAGACAGAGTGGGGATCAGAAAAGGCAGACTGACTGAACTACACTACTGAGGGGAGCAGCGGGAAAGACAGGAGAGGTCTGCTTCACCGTGTGGGTTGCTCCCTGGCCGGCCGGGGATCAAACTTGTGCTGCAGAGTCTGCGGATTGCTTCACAGAGCAGTGCTTAACCCCTTTAGCCACCAGGGAGGCCCTCCCTTAGATAAATATTGTTTTTAGTTTTGATTTTGTCAAGATGGAGTCTGGGAGGCTCAGATGGTGACTTCAAAGTACAAGAAAGATTTGTATCCTAGAAAGTAGGCCCATGTCCTGTTATAGTTCTGCTGTGAGGTGCTAGCCTGTCTCCTGTAATTACCTGCTGAGTTTCAGTGAGCCTTATCTGGCCTTTGGAGTGTGATGCCAGTACTCAAAACTGAAGTCCAAGGTTCCAACCACTTGCCTTCAGCGACAATGTCCTATCTCTGCAGCCTTTTTACTTCAACTTTATGGTCCAGACTCAATATTGAACACCACCTCTCTCCTTCATGGGGCACAGGGAAGTGTTTGATCTCCTGCAGACCAGGCATAGCATCCTGGTGTTCACTAGCCTAAACTTCACCCTCCATCATTGTTGCATTGTTGATTCAAAGCCAAGTGCAAGCCTTCCCCTAGAGGCTTGTAGCCTTCTCCAAGTCATACACCTGGGGAAGCAGGCACAAAACTCTGTCCTTGGGTTCTACCTCGTTTCTGTATCTGTCTTTAATATTTCTATAACTTCCACCAGTCAACACTTGGATGGGTTGGGGAGGAAGAATAGGGAGAAATGAGGATCCAGGAATCTCCTTGCTTTCCCGCTTCATTTTTCTGTCCACTGTCTTGCAGGTATGAATAAACAAGTATTACTTTTATTTCCCTTTTTTTTTTTTTTAAGGTCAGTGACCCTCACAGTCTGAAAATTACCAATGGGTAGGATTTCAGACCAACAAAGTGAAAGGAACACCATGATCTGGTTTTGATCTGAGGCCCCAGGACAACTCTAGTCCTCTAAGGAGAATTATATTTTATCCCTGTTAAAAAATTAAGACTCTCTGTCAGGTGCTTGGTGCAAACGTCCCAGTTGACAGTTTTTACTGTGCTGCCCTCAGGTCTTCCCACTTCTTGTCTTCAACTCTTCACATTGCAAATTATTTCTCTATCTTCTCTCTATCCAGAGGCTATGGTCCTAAGATTCACTCCCTTCCTCCAAGTAGTTGGTGGGCGCATTCGTCTCCTCACAGTACACTTCCTACAGCCTGCTTACTTACTCTAGAAGAATGCCACATTTGTATGTGTCCATTCTTATGCACAGGCTTTTCCTGGACCCTCCACGGGGCCCTATGCCCTCCAAATGTGCTCCTTTCCAGGGTTTCCCTGCCAGGTGAAGTGCTAATAGCACACCACACACACTATATGCACACACATTAACAGGTAGAATCACCCAACATCACACAGAGAGGAGAAAGGTTTCTAGCTATAACACAGTATGAACACCTTTACTATCTGATGACCAACTTCATGCTTGTGTAATATGCAGTTAGCTCCTCAGTTTTCCTGCTTACAGATTGCATTCAAGGCTCATCAGTTGCATAAGCACCAACTATTCTACAAGTTACCACAAAGCTACCAATCTTTAAGACAAATTCTTTTTCTCTCTCTGATTTGGACAGGTTAAATTCTTGAACATGGCATTCTGTAGGACACGTTTATGTAATCCTATGTAGGCGTCAATATAGAGCTTTATTATACTCATGTCTAACTAGATATTGTGGGAGGTTGGCATGTGGAGGTAGGGGGCTGATTGAATTAGCACTTACCTAAGAGACACCAAAAGACGGAACCCAGGGTTCCAATGACAGCAGGATAACCCCTTCTCTGCCTGCTGTTGGGATGGCCAGAGCTCAGACGCAGCTCTGCCATGGTCTGCTGCCATTCCCCAGGGAAGCGATACCAGTTCTGGGGCCCAGGTTCCTGTAGATGATGGAAGGCAATGGTCTCTTAAGCAGACCGCTCATAGCTGTGCACATGGAGAACAGTTCATAAATGTCTGTGTGTTGCACTTGATAGGAACTAAAGGATACTTCTGTCCCAATTTCTTCATGTTCTGAAATTTCTAACTCAATGTCCAACCAGGCAGGAGCCTCTTTAATTCTGGTAGATCTGAAACCTGAATTTGCTTGTTAGGTTGGGTGCTAAAGGCTTTACAATCTACCAAGGATCAAAGAGAATGTCTTTAATTCCATAATCAGATTTTGCAATAAGAAATTAGGTGGTGCTACGGGCAGAAATGATGCAGCAGTGATACAGCATGAATGACATCATGCAGATGGTGGTTGAAACCTGTTTTTCCTGAGTAAGCAGACCTGAGTCAGACATACTTTATTGTTGCTCAACCCCCCTCTCCATAATGCTCTCCTATTCCAGTCCCACCAACTAATAAATAGCAGCTATCACTTACCGTGCACTTACAGTAAGTCAGGGACTGGGCTAAGCATTTCTAAGAATTTCTGGAAGCCAAGTTTTACTGACAACATGAGGTATTTATATCCTTCAGCACATTGCCTGGCATATTACAAGCACATAAGTCTAATTGTTGCTTTGAAGATTTTGTTGTTGTTGTTTTTTTTTTTATCTGACTTTACATTATGAAACTAGGCAATAAATTCCATGGTGTCTGAATCTAACCAGCTCCTGAGTTCAGTCCTGAGTTATTACAAGAGGACTATTCAGTTCCAGAGTTTAGATGAGATACTTATATTTTTCATTGCTTTTATAAACATGCCTATACAGGGATTCTTATGTGTGTATATATACGTATATATACACTATTTATACATATATATCTTGGAATTTATCAAAGAGTTTATTTAGGGCATATACTTAGGAGTGGAATTACTGAACTATAGGGTAAGTACAGGTTCTTCTTTATGAGATAATACAAAATTGCTCTCCAAAAAACTTGCATTGACAGTCTACCTAGCAGAGGATGAGTGTCTATTGCTCCTCATCTTGGCCCACACTTAGTATTCCCTGGCTTTTAAATTCTGTGTATCTGGTGAGGGTCAACTTGTATCTCATTTTAGTTTTAAGATGCATTTCCTTGACTATTAATGTCATTAAGGATTATTAATGTCATCAATGGTTTTGTGGAATCAGTCTTTTTGAATTGCTTTATGATGTTATTAAATTGCTCCAAAGAACTTCCATTATAAATAGTATACAGTATTTAAATGTTTTCTCCTTTTAATTCAAACTATACACACAAAGGAAAAGATGTATGCACCTCCATGCATCATCCAGACCTAATTCTACATGTACATTATGGACTGAATGTTCATGGCTTCTCCCAAATTCGTAAGTTGAAATCCTAACTCTCAATGTGCTAGTACTAGGAGGTGGGACCTTGGAGAGGTAATTAGGTCAAGTGGGTGGAGCTCTCATGAATGGGATTAGTGCTCTTGGATGAGCAGAGAGCTTCCTCCCTCTTACTTTCCTTCTGCCATATAAGGAAACAATGAGAAAACAACTACAAGCCAGGAAGTAGGCTCTCAGCAGACACTGGATCTGCCATTGCATAAATCTGATCTTGGATTTCCAGGCTCCAGAACTGTACAGGGGTACTAAGGGAGATGGGGAAATATTTGTTGTTTAAGTCACCCAGTCTATGGTAATTTATTGTGGTAGCCCAGACCTAATTTACCTACAACTTGTTTATTTACCTTAATTATAAATCATTCCATTCCAATACATAGTGATCCACTTCATTTTATCATAATATTTCACAGAAAGGATGAATATTTTATTTTTTCCCCTCCCCTTTTTAAAGCAATTTTTGGGCAGATTTATCCCTCCTCTTCCTGAACAAGTTAGTACCTCTAACTGGAAACAACCAAAGTTAGCAGTTGAGGAATAGAGTTGCTAGATGTCATCAATCCCCTTGCTTCTTCCTACACACACGGGAAGTCATATCTGAGGTCCCTTCAGTTAGGCTGGGATCAGACAGCAGAGTTTAACAATACAACATGGCAAAAAGTAACAGAGACAACTAGCAGTTGATCAGTTATCCTGGCGGTCTCCCTCTTTAACCAGCTGGCTAAATGCAGAGGATAGAGTAGGGGACTCCTAGCACACGATGGTGCCACAAGCTGGAAGGAACCCAAATCTCTGATTCTCTGCTTGGAGGAGGAGGACCAGGCACATTTGCTCTGGACTTTACATGGGCGAGAAATAAGCTCTGGGTTAAGTCACCCAGATTTTGGGGTTGTTACATCAGCTAGCATTAGTTACACCAACATACATATTTCTTATGTATTCTGAGATATTCCATGATATATACAAGCAATTATTAGTCCTCTATCAAAGGACATGTAGGTTGTTTTGCTTTTCCCTATTACAACAATGCTACAACAAACATCTCAATGAAGTTGGTTCTGAGACATATTAAACCTTTAAGAGAGAGTGTTTGGAATGCAGCAGGCAACCAGGAATCTGTTCCACCTAATGAGATATTTCTCATGTTTGTTCATTCAGTTTGAGTTCATCAAGTTGGTATGGTGTGAGGATGGGTGAACGAGAAGCTACTTCCTGGCTCAGAATCCAGCTTGATACTGAGACTCTAATTTTTATGCAGATTGATTTTTGTCTTCCCCTACGATAACTTTTGCACCTAATTTCTTAGGGGCTCTAAGCACCTGTCATCTTGGTCATTCATTTCCGGAGTTTGCCAAGATGTCAGATTCTCATCTGCTAGAATCCTAGCACATGCAAGTCTCTTTTATATTCTTTGTATTTAATCAACATCTTGCCTGAAAATGTACCTGTGCAGAGCACTATTCCTAGTACAAGGCGGGAAGCACACCTATGTGAGCTGTTGTCCCCTCTTATATCAATGATGACATTATACTACCTGTGACACATGAGAAGGAATAGATGGGGAGAGCAGATTTTAGCAGTTTGCAGTTGTTCTGGCACTAACATGGAATTGTTGAGAAAATCAGCTTGTGAGAGACGTAAAATTGTGTTTTTCTTTATATTTAGGTTTCTCACATAGGGTAGACACTACTTTCTAAACTTCAGGAACTTCATTAAAGAACCCATAAGATTTGAATTCTTACAGCTATGCTTATCATTTCAGTGTATCAGTAGTCTTGAAATTGGTCTTTTCCCCTCTACCTTGCAGGAATCAAAAGCAAAGCATAAAGCAGGGGAGTTACTTAAGGGCAACAAAGAAGGGGACACATGACTATTCGTTCCCTCTAGGCCTCTCAACGCAGACAGTTGAGTCTTACCTTTTGGGTTTACATGCTGTAGTAGATGCTTGCTCTTACGCCTTGGGCCTATTCTCGAGTTTGCTTTCATAAAGCTCTAGGACATGAGGAAACTGTGTATCATGCTGGGTAGGTACATCCTCTGACTCAAGGGCCATGCTTTCTCCAGCACTAAGCACTAAGAAGCGCAGGAGCATTAACACCCTAAAGAGGAAAAAGAATTGGTAGGCAAATACCTCAATTCTGAGATATGTTCTAGTTTCTCAGATGATTCATAGCAGAACTGAGTTCATGCATTGAGCCCACACTGTACCCCATCGTTAACACACCCTTTAATGACATTCCTTGCTCTGCTGTTTCACTTCCCCACTCCTTTAGAGTGGGGTCACCTTTAAATAAACTACTTGCATCCAAATCCTGTTTCAGAGCCATTTGGGAGGAAACAAAACTAAGACAAGAACTCCTTTGAAAATGTGAAGAAACACAAAGTACCTCTCTTCAGGAAAATGTCATACTTTCAAGAAACCCAGGCAGGATTTGTTGTAATTCTGATATGAAGGCCAGGGTTCCAGAATCACCTTGACTTCGCTTTCTTCGCATTCCTTAGAAGATTGTCGAGGAATCTGTATACAAGGACCTAACTGGAGTGAAAGTGTGACTTTATTAACAGCGTCAGTAAGTGCCTAAAACCCTTTCCCCCCCTGTTTAAAATACCCTTTGCCTCTATGGCTCCTGTTCAGTTTTGTCTAGAAGTCTTCTCCAAATTCTCTAAATACTCTTTATCACAGTATACTGCTGATTCTTTGTAATATCACTTTTCTGCATGATACTTTGTAACACCACTTATCTATGTATTTGCCTAACTTGTTTACTAGTCTCTGTAAGACGATATGCTCCATGAAAACAGGAACAAAGTCATTTTGGTTACCACTGTATACCTAGTGTTGATGACAGTTTTCTCACATGCAAGATACCACATAAACTAAGAAGTTGAGGTTTGGGCTCTGGTTGCAAAGAAGGCATCATTTCCTTGCTCATTAAAAAAAACACTGGACCTTAATGTCTAAATAAAATAACCAGATCTACAGAGCGGGTTCTGACTCAACTATCAAGCTATGGGCATGGAGAAAATAGACCATAACTCATTAATGAATGCAAAGTGCCCCTATCCAGGAGTCTAAGCCAATTAGCAGCTTAAATTTCCACTGTTAGCCGACTGGGGGAGGGTAAGAGAAGTAGTAGGAAGTTGAGACCAAAATCTCTCCCAGAATATACTGTTCCGCATATTACTTCCAGGGAGTAAAAACCAAAACAACATAAACCTTCCGACGTCTGGCCATGGTCCACACAGGCCAATATCCCAGGGTCAAGACTCTCTGGTTTACAGATCTTCCTATTGGTACACATCTTGAGACTTCTAATCTTTACAACTGATTTAGTGCCTCTTTGATGCACTTGATCCTGACTTCTCTTTTCCCTGCCAAAAAGAAAAAGGGAGCACAAGCATTAATAGTGTCAGTAGTAATGGCTGAAAACAATCTTTACAGCAAGTCCTGTGCTGTGCTTTCAGACTGGTACCCTGGCACCTTTGCTCCGACAGAAATGTTCTATCCTCTCAACTCCCACCAGTTGAAAGCATGTTAACTTTGAAGGGCCTGGTACAAATGTCACCTCCATGAGACGTTCTCCAATCCCGCCAACCAGACGGAAACCTATTTACAGCTCCATTCAGGCAGCTTTTGTTTGTGGTTTCATGGGCAGTGTGTTACAGGGCAGAATGAGGGGCAGTCCAGGACCAAGCCTGCCTGCTCTAAATGGGTTCTGTCATCCTCCACAAAAAGACAAACATATTCTTAGAGCCTAAGACCTTCAATGGAAAAGAGCTAGGTTGTTGGCAAAGTCATGAGGTAGGGAAAAAATGAGTCATGACTTTTCCGACAGCCCAATAGCTAAGTTTCCCTATGAAACATGCAAAGTTACCCATCCCCTTGTGGGTAAATGCCCAGCCAGGCAGAGCTGGTCCAAAACCTGCCATAATTCTAAAGCCCCTGTTGGTGGGGAACCAGAGGAAAGGGGCAGAAGGGGCCAGTCAAGCCTGGAAGGAAAGGCGCAAAATCAAAATACAGGTCAAACTAACGGCTGCTAAGGGCAGCCACTGCACAGGTCTCCTCACCCATGGCTCTGCCTCTTTCAAGTGTCTCCTTCCATGTCCCCCAAGTCCCCGGTGAAAAGTCCAAAGCTGAGGAGCACGCACAGCTTACTTATATGTCTCTCAGCTCCAAGTGCCTCCTCCAGGTCTTTCTTCTCTGAGTCTTCCTCCTTCCTAATCTTCTCAGCCTTTTTCAGCTTCAACCCCCTGCCCAGCTTTACTGTTCCTTAAGGTGGAGCAGGGAACCTAGAACCGCCCCTTTCTCTGGGGACTACAAGTGGCCCTCCCACCCACTGAGCTCAGCTGGAGGCTTCCAGTGCCTGGCAAGGCCTCCTTAAACGTCTCATCCACTGTTGGTCTGAAAGACGTTCAGCTGGGAATAATTGCACACTCGACCCCATCCATGTTGTTGTCTTTCCCCCATTTTTATAAAGCACGTGCAATTTTCACCTCAGTCATTTCCTCACGAACCTCAGTGGGCAACCTGAGAAAGTTCAGTGAGCTCACACAAAAGTCAAAGCCCCCGAAGGCGAGGGCCAAATCTCACTTGTTTCAAGTAAACCCACAAATTTTCCAGGCCGCTCTTTCGTGCTCCACATCCAGAGCTGAGAAAAGACAGACACCCCCTGCCCAACCCGGTTACAGAGAGGGCCGCGACGGGCGCTGCAGAGGCAACTTCCGCCTTGAAAACAGTGCGGTCACGCGGCCAGCTTCCGGTTCCGTAACCCAAGGCCTTTTATCCCAGTTGGCAGTACTCCGCACCCCAAGGCCACCCCACCCGGCACTTCCCCCGGCTCCACACCCTGCAGCGCCGGCTACGCGTCTCGAGGGCGTCATGCCGTGACGTCACTCTGGCGCCAGGGGCAAAGTGAGCGGCGAACTGGCAGCCGCAGGATTGGGGCGCTAGCGCGCAGAAGCACGCCGAAAGCGCGGGGGCGGGCCTAGCTTCTGACGGGCGTGCCCGTACACCCGTCGCCTTTCTGATGCCTTCTCAAATAAACCAATGAATGCGACGACGGCGCCGGCCACGTGCTCCAGCGTGCGCAGAGGCTCCGCCCCCTCCAGTCGGCCGCCATGCTTAGTGTGGCTACCGACTTTGTGCCGCTCTACGCTCTTCCCTGGCTTTCCGAGGCCATAGCAGAACTCCTTCCAGGGCATTTCCTCCCTCCCAACGTCAACCTCCACCTCTTCGCGTCTCTAGCTTGCTGGCCGCCTATTCAGACACACTTAAGATGGCGGCCGGAGGCGGGGCCGAGGCGGGGCGTGCCCGGCGCGGTGACGTCAGCGCGCTGCGTGCCGGCAGGTGGAGGGAGAGGGAAAGTTTGGCCCGTGCGTGGGGCTGGGGTGGAGGGCGGGACAGAGGGGCTGGGCCCAGGCGAAGCTCCTGTAGCTGCAGCAGCCGAGGCCGAGGCCGGGACCGGGCCGGACCGGAGAGTGCCGGACGCGGAGGCGCGGAAGGCGAGACTCGCCGGAGCTTCGAGCCCCTGCCGCCCGGTCGTGCGGTGACCCCGAGCCCACGCGCCGCCCGACCCTTGGCTGCTCGGAGGCGGTTGGCGGGGGCGCGGCGGCGGGCGGCGGGCGCGGCGGTGGGGGTGGGGCAGGGCGCGGCGCGGAGACGGGAGAGGTCAGCGAGTGAGGCAGGACCGAGAGTCGCGCCGCCGTCATGTCCGAAGACGCGAGCGCCCTGCCCTGGTCCATCAACAGGGACGACTACGAGCTGCAGGAGGTGATCGGTGAGCGCGGGTGCCGCCGCGGGGGGAGGCGCTGCGCCGGGGGAGGGTGACACGCGGGATCGTGGGGGGCCGCGCAAGCTGGGGGGGCGCAGGACGCCCGGGGATTCGTGGGGGCGCGGGGGAGGCGCTGGTTTGTGCATCGCGCGTGAGCGGGGAGGGGATTTTGAGTGGCGCGCCTGTAAGGTGGGGTGGGGTGGGGTGGGGTTCAGGGAGCTCACGAGAGATTTGTGCAATGACAGATGTTTGAACCTGAGCGACAGATGCTTCTGGGAGAGAAAGGAAAGTGCAGGCGTGGGGCAGGCCTTGGCGAGGCTGTGCGAGAAATGAGATACTGAAGTTAGGGGCATAGCTATCTCCGCCCCCCCCTTTTTTTTTTTTGACATGGTGGTGTAGGATACTTTAGTTCATTCCCAGCATGCGAGCGAGAACCCCGAGTGCTCACGGAGTGCCAGACATTGCAGGGGTGGAACTGAGGATCCTCTCCGGATGAAACTGTAGGTAACGCTCTGAGCAATGAAGACACAACTTCCGACTGCTTGAAACTGACTTTCTGGTTAGGGAGGTAGACATTAAGTAAGTAGACTAAATAGAAGGAATTACAGGTTTTGTCAAGTACTAGGAAGGAAATAAACAAGATGTTTTCATGGAGAAATACCCGGGCATGTAGTTACGGTGATTACATGGAAAAGTCATTTCTTGAGGCATTGAAATCAAGTTGAGCACCGAAGGGCGAGGAGTCTTTAAGGGCATAGGAAAGATTTTTCCTACTCAAGAATGAGGAATGCAAAGGCCCTGAGGAAGGTAAGAACCTGACGTGTTTTAGGACTGAAGGAGACTGGCTAGGACTGAAAAGTAAGGGTGGGGCCAGATCTTAGGAACCTTTTCAGCCTTGGTAAGGATTTTAGAATTTTTTTCGTGTTGTGGGAGGGCTTCAAGTGGATATGATGGATCTGGCTGCTGTGAGAAGAGAATTAGGAATAGCTGTTAGGAGAGACCAAAACTTGCACAAATGTGGGTTGTAATTCTCAGAGAGGCACAGTGATTGAGGAAGGTGGGATTGGGACTGAGGGGCGTGTTTGTGGATGATTATAACACAGTAACCTTAGAAATCAAAAGGGGGCTTGGGTAGCTAAACAGAAGTTCCAGTCCAGCTGACATGAGCAAATCCCTGTGTATTGGAGGAAAGAGATTGTCTACATTGCTAGATCAGCATCTTGTCCTAAATTTAGTTTATGGCAAAGACTGTTTGAAAACCCCTTGTCTGCCTTGAGGTATTTATTGCACTGTGTCTGTGGTGTAGAGAAACTTTCTGTTTCAATGACTTGATCTTATTTTAAGACAAATTGGGCTAAGTTTTATCTGAAAGACAGCACATCTTTTTCCTTAAGCCACTTCTCAGGCCTGTGTCCTTGGTCCATGATGGGAATTTGACATGTACTGGTTGGTTCTTAAGACACCTAGCTAAGTCTCTGTCTTGATTGATTGCTTCTGGATCCCTCAGTCAGTTTCATGTTGAAAGTGCTGAAGTAGGAGATTCCAAAATGATGTCCAAAAAGTAAAGAATGATGATAGGGGTCCCTGTCATCAATTTAGAAGAGTAATTATGCCTTCCTTTCCGATAAGGTGTACATCTTCCTTGGGTAAGGGAGATGGTTGTGGTCATATCTTTGCTATTAAAATGGCATAGACTCAGAATTGCAAGGACTAGAGATTTAAAGACTTAATTTAATTTGGTGTCATCAGACTGTTAGGGTATCTGTGAGTAAAGGGAGTCTCCGTGTTCAGGGAGTCTCAAAGTGGTTCATTGGTCATGAAGGTAAAGAACTCTAATGTGATTTGATCACATTTGAAAGACAGTATTACTGAGGTATAGCTTGATAGTATGAAATTCACCCGTTTAAGTATAAAATTCAGTGACTTTTAGAAAATTTACTATGGTGTGCCCCAATCAGCATAACCCAAATTTAGAATATTTTCATCACCCCCATGAGATCCTTTGTGCCTGTTTATAGTTAATTCCCATTCCCAACCCGCCCCAGGCCACCACAAATCTTTCTGTCTTTATAGAGTCTTTATAGAGCTTTTCTGGACATTTCATACTATTGGAAGCATCTAACATGCAGTCTTTTGTGTTTGGCTTCTCTTGTTTTAGCGTTTTTTTAATTCTTAAATATAATGTTATTGAAATACAATTTGCATGTCATAAAATCCACCTGTTTTAAGAGTACAGTTCGAATTTTGGGGGTAAATTGGCAGAGTTTTTGAATCATCACCACAACCCAATTTTAGAACATTTCCATCATTCCAAAAAGATGCCTCATGTCCATTTTGCAGCCATTCCCTCTTCCTACTCCCTGCCACAGGCAACCACAGATCTGTTTCTTTATAGATTTGCCTTCTCTGGACATTTCATATAATTGTATAGTAAGTAGTCCTTTCTATTCAGCTTCTTTTACTTAACAATGTATTTTGAGTTTCATCCATGTTCTGGCCAGTATCAGTGTGTTATTCCTTTTTATTGGATAACAGTGGTAGGCATTGCTTGTTTCTACTGTTTGGCTATTTGGAATAATGCTGCTATGTGCATTCACTTCAGATATTAGTGTGAACATGTTTTCTTTTTCTTTTTTTAAAAAGATTTATTTATTTATGCATACAAGAGCTGGGGTACAGGCCAGAGATGCGGGGGGTGAGAGGATTAACCAGAGACAGAGCAGGGAACAGAACAGGCAGATTGACCCAAGGACACAGCCAGTGAGTCAGAAGAGGTCTGCTGTGCCATGTGGGTTTCCCTGGCCGGCTGGGGATTGGCTGGGGATTGAATTCATGCTGCAGAGGCTGTGGATTGCTTCATAGTGTGGTACTTAACCCCTTGTGCCACCAGGGAGGCCCCATTTTTATTTTTCTTGTGTCTAAACTCAGATGTAAAAATTCTGGGTCACTTTTATGTTTCGCTTTTTAATTAACTGACATACTTTTTCAAAGTGACTATACCATTTTACATTCCCACTAGTGAGGCAGGAGAGGTCCTGTTTCTCTGCATCCTTGCCAACATTTGTTGTCTGTCTTTCTGTTATTGTAGCTGTCTTACGGGGTGTGGAGTGGTATCATTACGGTTTTGTTTTGCATTTCCCTGATGACTAATGATGGTGAGCATCTTTCCAAGTGCTTATTGATTAGCCCCTTATATATCTTCTTTGGTGAAATGTTTATTCAAATATTTTGCCCACTTGGGTTGCCAACTGAGTTGTTTTCTTGCTGAGTTACTAGTATGCTTGTATATGTATTTACTCTGGATTTGAATCCTTCATCTGATCCATAATTTCATATATTTTCACCAAGTCTTAAACTTTTCATTTTCTTGATGGTGTATTTCAAAGTACAGAAGTTTTAAGTTTTGATAATAACATTTTTTTCTTTTATTGGTAGTGCTTGTGGTGTTGAATCTAGAAAATTGATACTAACCCAGCATCATAAAAGATTTTTTTTCCCCTGTGTTTTCTCATAAGTTATAACTTTAACTTACATTTAAGCTTTTGGTATGTTTTTAGTTTTTTATGTATGGTGTGAGGTAGGGTGATCCATTATGTTTTACAGATAAAGACACTGGAAGGTAAAATGATTGTTCAAAGTCATGGAACTAATTAGTGAGAGAGGCAAGACATCTGACTCTCCTATTTCCAAATTAGTGATCCTCCTTCCTTCATCTCCATTTGATTGATTTTTTTAAATTATAAAATGGAAGATGGGGGCCTCCCCGGTGGCAGTGGAACAGCGGTTGAGCGCTGGGTTGCAAAGCTGCCCACAGCCTCTACGGCGCCGGTTCGATCCCCGGCTGCTCCCCTGCCACCGGAAGAGGGTCCCACATGGCGTGCAGACCTCTCCTGCCGCCCGCTACTCCCCTCAGCAGTGTACTTCGGTCCTTCTGCCTGCTCTGCTCCCTGCTCTGGCTCTGGTGAGTTCTCTCACCCTCCCGCGCTTCTGACTGTACCCAGTGCTTGAATAGATAAATAAATAAAT